ATGCAGAAGTGTTGACTTTGTCTGTGGTTCTGCAAGCACGTGCTTATCCCCTCATCGAGGCTATAAGCAGCCAGGGACCAGAGATCCCCTGAGGCATCACTAATCCTCACAGCCTTCAGCAGTGTCTTGCAGATAGCAGGCATTTAGTTAGTAAATGTTTATGGAAAGAACGACTTAAAATCTATTCTATCAGACACAAGGAGTAATAAAATTCTACTTTCGAGCTTAAAGATTTGCATAACTATGCTTATATTTAAATATTAGAACTGGGTGTCCTGGCTCTCAGTCCCATTTGGTGTCCAGTCAACCCCCTCTATGTTCTTTCCATAGAAGAGTCATTTCTTCTGCCAGAGTTATGATGGGAAAAGCTTCTCTCTTGGTCTCATCTTCAAGGGATGCTACTTACTCTAGAAGAATAGTTCATAATGGGTTAAAAGTGTCATTTATTGGAAAGATTACTTGATTGATTTCAACTTCTGAGTCTTTTGCCAGCTGAGTGACCTTGGGCAAGCTACTTAACCTATCTGAACCATAGTTTCCCCATTTGTGGAATGAGGGAATTGGACTAGATGTCCTTGAAGTCACTTCTAGCTCTAATACTAGAGGAGTGATATTGTGGCAGGGGTGCCCCTGGGCCCCCCACAAATTAAATTATGAAACGCATGCACTGCAGGCCACTGTCTTCTCTAAAGGATCTGGGATTGTACCAGCAGGCAGGGGCCAGCTTGCAAAGGGAAGAGATTCACAACAAAACTCTATTTCACTTTTCTTCTTATGTGACAACTTAAGGGGGTCATGTTACAGAAGGTGTGGCAATAATTTGCAATTATTTCCAGCAATTATTTGCAATACTGAGCCAACATGTTCTTAGAATGATATGATTAATATTAATGCTCCAAGAAAAAGTGAATTTCATTGTATTGGGAAGTTTGAAAACCTTCTGATTTCAGGACTTGAGGATGGGTTGCAACAGTTCCTTGCTTGTTTCATAAACTGGGTAACAACACCCATCCTGTTTATCGCCTGTGAGACAGGTCCTCAAGCAGCTGGTATTATCTACGATAGGATGGATTATCCCAGTGATTCAGGAATCCTGGGAGGGATGATGGCACATGATAGAATGAGAAAGATTGTTTCTATTATTGTGGATTCAGTGTCTGGAAGGTTCTCAGACAGATGAGATGGGTGATCTGTTCTTTTAACTGAACATCTTGTCAGGTCTCTCCCTTGCACATAGGGCCAGAAGTAGAACTGGGAATCCTGTCCCTTGGCATATTCCCCTTACTTTTCCTGGGCCTCCTTGCCTCCGAGGACACACAATTTAACACAAAGAGTAATAAATTCCAAATTAGGAGACCTAGGTTGATGTCTCCATCCTGCCACCAACTGTCTCCTTGATCTCCATGTTGCTTCCCTGGGCCTTAGTACTCACACATCAGTAATAACAGTAGAAAGAGATACTGTTTTTTGAGGAAGATCTGTCATTTACTGGCTGGGGGAACTTGGGAAAACCATTCAACCTCTAAGCTTAAGTTTCTTCATCAGAAAACTGGGTTATAAGACCTGCCTCAAAGAGGTAATAATTTATCCAACACATACTTATTAAAAGCTTACTATGAGCTGGGCTCCATTCCAGGCATGTGTAATATAGGGGTAGATAAGACAGACAAAATTCTTGCCCTCAAAAAGCTTATATTCTTAGTGGAATTTTATGAGAATTACATGACAATAAGTATAATATATATGTATTAATATATATATAACATATGTTATATATATTATGATTATAATGTATAGAGCATTTAATATCTAAGTCCAGGTACTAGGCTTAGGATACGCTCTACATTATCATTATAATAGTTATTAGGTTGAATTATAAGACAAGGCCAATATCAGACCAGTCTTAATTTTTAATTTTTATTTTATTGAATTACAGTTGATTTACAATGTTGTGTTAGTTTCTGGTATGCAGCAAAGTGATTCAGATATATATATACTTTTTCCTATTCTTTTCCATTATGGTTTATTGATGTTGAATATAGTTCCCTGTGCTATACAGTAGGACCTTGTTATTTATCAATCCTATATATAATAGTTTGCATCTGCTAGTCCCAACTTTCCAATCCCATTCTTCTCCCACCCTGCCCTTTTCTCTTGACAATCAAGTATGTTGTCTATGTCTGTGAGTCTGTTTGTTTCATAGATAAGTTCGTTTGTAATATCAGACCAACCTTGACCTACACAGATGGAAATTGCATGTGGTTCAACCTAGCAATATTTTTACTATCCTTGATTCCTCCTCTCCCTAACCTACACATTTAATCAGTCTCCAAACATTTAAAAAATGTATTTAGATTCTCTCAAGTCCACACACGTCTCTCTCTCTCTCTCTCTCTCTCTCTCTCTCTCTCTCTCTCTCTCTGCTGCTACTAGCTCAAGCCAAGGTTAAATCTCTTTCTGGGACTACTTCAATGGCTGGATTCCCCGTCTCCAGTCTTACCTGCCTCAAGTCCATTTTCAAGTGTGCCTCTCTAATCTCATTGCTCCTTGCTAAAAGCTTTCATAACGCCTTGCTTTTGGATGAAGTCCTAACTCCCTAACATGACCAATCTTACTTCTGACCTCCAACCAGCTTATCTTTCACTCTTGTGTCCCCATTCTCCTCTCTTGCTCTAATTTTAGGCCATTTGGTAATTACTGATTGGTTTGTATGTCTCCATTTTCAGGTACAGCTAAGCCTGAGATCCTGTGGTTTTAGGATACAATATAAAGAAGGAACAATTTGAAATCAACATGTTCATTCAATAGTCATCAAGTGTTTGCTGAGCACCTACCAGGAACCAGTGAGTGTTGGGAGCACGAAGTTGAACAAGGAGCTCTCAGGCCAGGGGGAGATACAGATATGTAACTCAAAAAATTGCAATTCATGGGCTTCCCTGGTGGCGCAGTGGTTGAGAGTCCGCCTGCCGATGCAGGGGACACGGGTTCGTGCCCCGGTCCGGGAGGATCCCACATGCCGCGGAGCGGCTGGGCCCGTGAGCCACGGCCGCTGGGCCTGCGCGTCCGGAGCCTGTGCTCCGCGACGGGAGAGGCCACAACAGTGAGAGGCCCGTGTCCCGAGGAAAAAAAAAAAAAGTTAAAGTGCTATGCCCTGGATCCCCCCCTAGTCTTGGGAAAACTGGGACAACCTACACCGATGGGGACTTGTAGAGCAGGCATTTGGACCTAGCTCTCAAACCCAGAGTTCTCTCTGAGGGTTTGGTTTGTTTATTCCTTTTTCCTACATGTGGCAGTATCCCAGGTGAATATGAATGTAAAGTATACCGAGCCTATTGATTGGAACGTAGGAAAAAAATCAGTAAGCGGTAACGATTACCAGTGCTGTACCAAGGCATCCTGGAACCTAAGGCAAACAGGAAAGATGTACACCTCTCTATATATGCTTTTTTAAAATTTTTATTGGAGTATAGTTGATTTACAATGTTGTTTTAGTTTTAGGTGTACAGCAAAATGGCTCAGTTATACATATACATATATCCACTCTTTTTTAGATTCTTTTCCCATATAGGCCATTACGGAGTATTGAGTAGAGTTCCCTGTGCTGTACAGTAGGTCCTTATTCGTTATCTATTTTATGTATAGTATTGAGTATAGGTCAATCCCAATCTCCCAATTTATCCCTCCTCCCCTTACACCCTGGTAACCATAAGTTTGTTTTCTACATCTGTGAGTCTACTTCTGTTCTGTAAATAGTTTCATTCGTACTCTTCAGCATATGTTTTTATTATTTTATGTGTATTATTTTCCCAAGACATTAAGGTAGTTGAAAATTATTGAAAATTTGATAATTAGCTGCATTACAACTCACATTATTTTTAAGTTTAAATATGTTATTTATGTCCCAAACAGAATTTATTATAATTTTACTTTCCTGGTTTTAAGGGAAGAGAACTCATCACTAATATTTTCATCATATACTTCTGATACATAAAAACATAGATATGGATATAGATACATAGATAGATATAGACGGATGGATAAACATATGTAGATATAGATGGCTAGATAGATGATGTATAGATAGATAGATAGACAGATAGGGGCACTCATTTCCCCTTTTGTCCTGGGTTTCCATATGGCTCAGCATGACCCTGTCAGATTCTGTCTTTATTTAAATTGTTAATCTTCTGTTCATCATGGATTGTTTTCATTAATTTTGCTACTGCATTAAAATATTATTTATCTTGATTACTGAGACTTTTGTCTCCTTAAAATTTGTGCCTGAGGTGAGTGTTTCACTCTCCTCTCCCTAATCTCAGCGCATTATCATTTTACCTTAAAACTCAGCAACTACTAGAAAGTGCCCTCTTACAGAGCAAGCCTCATCCCAAGAAGGGATGAGTTCCTTCCCACCTTTTTCCTCTTTCTTTTGGGATGGCTTACTTGATCCTCAGCCTCAGTTACAAGGCTAGGAAAACGCATACTCTTGGATTAGTCCCAGGTATGCCTGACTGCTGCCTTCCTGCAGAGGGCGCTGTGGAGTCCAGGTACCCCAGGAGGGTGGAGAAGTGTTAGGTGGAATTAGGCAGATTGCCCATCAGAACTTGCCTTTCCCCGGCAGAAGGACTGTTATGAAATCATCGACTTTCTATTTGTCTTCGGGGCTGAAATAAATCTACTATCCTCAAATAACCAATCTGATCTCAGACAAATGCCAAATAGAGCTAAGTTCCTCTGCCCTGGGGATGGACGTAAAATCCAGACAATTTCCCCAAAATGTTTTTGGTGGCTTGGCAACAGCTTCTATGAGGTTCAGTTTTCCCCCAGTCCCTCTGTGGGTCTAAGGGGACCAGAAGGGTGAGCTACATTGGCATTCTGGAAGGGAAGACTATATACATCAACTCGCAAAAACAAGTTCTGACATTTTCCCTGAAATGTCATCCTCTATCTACTCATTGCAAGTGCCTGCTGCTCCAGGCCTTTCCTGCTGGGCAATAACGATGGGGCTGGGATGCGGAGAGAATAAAGGAGCCAGGACCTGTAGCACCAACTCATACTCAGACCCTGAACAAGCACCTGAAGCCTTCTCTTCTCTTTTTCTTAGTAAGTTGGATGAATGTGCCAGACCATCTGAAGTCAGATGAAGCTATTAAGTTTCACCAGGGGACATCGGGGACTGGGGGAGGCATGTCCCTAGTGACAGGATTGGCTTCTTAAGGCATGAGACGGGGAAATCAATAAGTCATGCTCTTTCCTTTGAATTCTTAGCTCCTGTGGTCTCCAGAATCTGGCTCCAGAATCTCCTGTGGTCTCCAGAATGAAAGGCTCTGGTCTTCCCCTCTGCCTTCTTTCTGCTGTGTTTTATGTCTTCTGGACACCTTCTGCCAGGTTGAAGACACTCCATTTGGGAAGCTGTGTGATCACCACAAGTCTTCAGGCAATTCGAAGTGGATTTTCAGAGATACAGGACAGAGTGCTATGTGAGGGAGGGACCCCACCTTTCGCTTTGTGACTGCCTCCCCACTTTTCTACTTATTTTTCTCTGTCTCCCAGCAGTGGGATCACAAAAAGAGGCAGACTGGGGACTCCTTACCAGGAGGATGTGTTCCCAGGAAATATCTGTAGTTCATAATTCAAAAGTGTTTTGGAGAGAGACTCTGCCCACTGTGCCATGGCAGGGAGGGGATGGGAGGTCTGGAGGTCTAAGATCCTGGCAACAGTTACTGACCGGTACTTTTTCATCTTGCCTTCCTCTGTTTAGCAACCCAAAGATGAAATCATTGACCTCAGAATCTTGAGGAAGACTCAGCCTTTGCAAGACACAAAGGTACATGCTTGGTCTGTATGATTTCTGGGAGGAAATATGAGTCGGGGGAATCTCCATCACCCTTGTCCCTGGACACCCTCCACCCACCAACACGCCAGTCTTCTTTGTAGCCTGCAGGTCAGTGCTGCCGCCTCCGCCATATACTGAGACTCTACCTGGACAGGGTATTCAAAAACTAACAGACCCCTGACCACCGTATCCTCCAGAAGATCAGCGGTCTCGCCAACTCTTTTCTTACCATCAAGAAGGACCTCTGTCTCTGTGTGACTAAGGGTCTTGGGTAAAAGGATCCACGTCAGCACATAGCTTCAATGACTTAGCAATCAGGCTCATTCTTAGCCCCATTTAATGGATGGAAGAACTGAGTCCAAGAGTTCTAATAATCTGTGTTGAGCCATGTGACTAGGTAATAAGAACTCAGTTATATTTACTTTTGAATACAAGCTCCATGCAAAATGTCTACAGAACTATAAAGTGCTACCTATTTGATGTCACTGATAACTTCCTAGTATCCATGAAATTATGCTTCTTCTGTAGGTGAGTTATCCTGCGGCATACTAGTGCATACTGAGTCCAGGCAGATAATCAGCAGACAACCGGACTCGATCTCAAGATAGGACCTAGGAATCCAATTCTCTTTCCCATGGGGGCTCTCTGGAGGGAGCTAGACTAGAACTGGGTTGGGGGGTGTAGGCCAGATGGGATACAGTGATCACAAACTCTTTCAGTGCTGCCTGTTTCTAAAAAGAAACAATGAGCTCTATATGCTTCCTCTTCTAGCTGGTGATCAGTTTAATGACCCTAAATAAGGAGGTCTGAAAAGACTTCTATAGGTGAAAGGATAGAACTTCCACCTACTTCGTGTCAATGGCAAGGGCAGAAAATCAGAATCTTTAATAAAATCTATCATTCTTTGGTATTCTTTTCAGCATGCCCATATGACATGCCCTAGTGGGGAGGAAGCAATGGAGAAATACAGCCAGCTTATGAGCCACTTCGAAGAGGTATATGCAGTTTTGGCCTTGGTTGGGATGAGTGTGTTTTTAGAACTGAGATCATAGATGGGTGTGATAGATGTTCATACTCAAAGAAATGTTACAGCCCTCAGGTTAATGGCCCTCTGAGGTCATGTGGACTGTCCCTCTTCTTTAACCCAGGGGATACCCATTCAGGCTCTAGAAGGGTGCTGTCTCTGCAAGATGCTCTGGGAGTCAAGAAGGAATAGCCATGATTCCATCAAGTCACTCCAGAGACATCTGAACTTTCCAGCTACACAAACTAGAGGCGATAGTTTTCCGACATTCACACACTTGTACATACCCTCAAAAATAATCACTCACAATTTCATGCATGCCCATGCCATGCTGTTTCTCACCTCAATGCCTTTATACATCTGCCAGGAAGGCCGGAGTCTGCTCCACACTCACTAATTCCTACTCATCCTTTAAGACTCAGCCTAGGCATCACCTCCAGGAAGGCACTGGCTACTTCTCTCAGAGTTAAGTGCTCCAGTCATCCTGTGGGGGCTCCATCATCTATTTACCACACTACATTTTAATTGCCTGCTTCTGCCTGTCTCCCTCACTCAACTGTGAATTCCCTGTGGGTAGTGACGGTGTCATTCATTTCTGAGTCCCTAGCCAGCCCAATGCTTACTTAGCACAATAAATATTTGTTCCATTGAAGGATGCACAGTAGGCAACCCATACACACACACACATACACACACACACACACACAGACACACACCTTTCTTTAAAAAACAGCCTAATTACTTTGATCTCTGTGATTCAAGAGGCTTGAGTTGTAGTCCCAATTCTGCTACCCCCCGGGCCTCAGTTTCTCTATGTAAGACTAGGGTGATTGGAATCAATGATTTTTCCTCCCTCTTGTGAGATCTTGAGGTTCCATAATGTCTCTCGAGCTCTTCATTTTGAAAACGATGCTCTGTTTACAATCTCCAATAGACCTACCAGTGAAAGGAGAGGATTAACCTTGGAGCCCACATTGTCTCTTTATGAGTTGCTCACCACTTCACTTGGTATCTTCCAGCTTCAGCCTCAGGCAGCAGTGGTGAAGGCTTTGGGGGAGCTAGACATTCTCCTGAGCTGGATGGAGGAGATGGACTAGGAAGAAAGTGATACCTCTGAGAGTATTCTGGGCCCAGGCTCCCAGCCCTCAGTACCCAGGAGACATGACCCCAAACCAGCATCTCTTTGTTTTATAATTTAGTGCTGGTCACTGTGTATATTATTTATTTATTATTTGTTTCCTTATTGTGATTATCTTCATGTGTTCCTATTCTTAATCTAGAGTTTTATCAGATTTTAATAAGATCTTTTTTACTGTTGGGTGTATTTATTAGTTAATATATTTATTTTTGCTATTTAACTTATTTATTTTTATATTTGAAGATGAGACTTTTAAAAACAATTCACAGATTATATTTATAACCCAACTAGAGCAGGTTTTTCATAGAGTAAACAAACCTTCTAAATTCTAGAGGAGTGGCTAGAATTTTATTAAATTAAGGACATGTTTACTGACCACCAGTGCTTTAAGAGATACTTAAAACTGAACCAATGGCTACTAAGCGTGGGTTGTGGAAGAAGAACTTCTGATGTGAAATTACAGGCTTGTCTTACAATTACTGACCACCCCTACTCAACTCCCAAACCCTAGACTTGTGTATCTTCCATTTATGGAATCCTCTGGGTCCAGAATGTATTTTTACAAATAAAGTTTTCTCCGTATGATATCTGCTTGGAGTTTGAAAATGCTTCAGGAGTAGAAACACAGGTGGGGATGAGCTTGAATCTCATATTACGTAGGGACCTCTTGCTTCTTTGGGGAAGGAAGATGCCAGTGAGAACCTGGGCCTTCTCTCCCCTACCAAATGCATCCCCAGCTCTATCTCCTAAATCACCCACAGCTCTGATCCCATGACTCTGCCCTCCACATAAAAGGACTGTGACTGGGTGAAGGGCATCAGTCCTCTCTGCTTCCTCCTTGCTGGTGTTGAGCACTCTCCTCTCTGTACCACTGTTTTCCTTCTCATTTCAGGCTCTCATACTTCTGTGTCAGAGGTCTTCATTGCAACACAAAGTATAATGGGCAGGAAGCTCTATTATAAGGGCTAAGAATGCACAGGGGCAAAGTGTACTTCCCGAGCCCTGCCCAGGGAGGTGCATGAGCCCTCTTTTGAGGTCCTTCCATTTTGGATTCTGGCCAGCCTCATGGTATAGGTTGCTCCTGGATTAAGTCTTTGAGTTTGGAAACAACGATTAAGTCAGTGTTCTCGTTCCAGGTCCCTTTCATGCTGAGCTTCCCTGGGCTTGAAGGAGCCACAATTCTGGCCTGGACTGCTTGCCTCCTTCCTCCCCAGCTCACTCTGAATAGCACCTCAGCTTAGCAGTTTAGTTTCCACAGTTTCAGAAACAGCAGACTGATGCTCCTATAGTGAGCTTTCCCACTGCTTCTGGTTTCTGCTCCCAGCCCTCATCCTCAGCCCTGATGAAGTTTAAATAATTTTATTGATTTTTTTCTCATTATTAAGTAACAACTACCCAGTAGAGAAATTTTGGAAAATACAAAAAATATAAAGAAGAAAATGAAAATCACTCATAATCCTATCACCCATAGATAACCATTCTGAAATATTTAGGTGGTTTTTTAAAATTTTTTATTTATTTTTGGCGGCGTTGGGTCTTTGTTGCTGCACGCAGGCTTTCTCTAGTTGTGGCGAGCGGGGGCTACTCTTCGTTGCGGTGCGCGGGCTTCTTGTTTCTCACTGAGGTGGCTTCTCTTGTTGCTGAGCACGGGGTCTAGGCGCGTGGGCTTCAGTAGTTGTGGCACACGGGCTCAGTAGTTGCGGCTCGTGGGCTCTAGAGCGCAGGCTGTAGAGCGCAGCCTCAGTAGTTGTGGCTCACAGGCTTAGTTGCTCCATGGCATGTGGGATCTTCCCAGACTAGGGATCGAACCTGTGTCCCCTACATTGGCAGGCAGAGTCTTAACCACTGCACCACCAGGGAAATCCCTAGGTGTGTTTTTCTCCAGATCTTTTATCTTGGATTCAAATCATGATTCAATTCTGATTACCTGATTGATTTGGGCTGTAAAATTTAACCTAGGAACCTCTGGAAAACAAGATGATAACACCTACTTTTCAGGATGATGGAAGAGATGGTCTTTTATGTTCCTTTGAAACAGGGCATTTTTGCTTTTATACTCTCCATTATGATCACCCTTCTTCTATCAGATTTTCCAGTTGCCTGTCTTCTGGTTTCCCTGACCAGTCTGACGAACGACTCAGCTTTAACTCTCAAGGCACAGTTGCAAAGTCAACTTCACTGATCTCAGTGTTAAAATTAGAACCAACATGAGACATGCTGAGGGCGTATCTCAGGTTGACCCACAGAACTGAGGATGAAGCTCCTCCCTTCGTTTTCTGGGAAGCATTTCTGATTCTTCTGAGACTCTGGGCCATGGGAAGCCTTGGTCTTTTGGAACTCCACATTACCATGTAACCACTCCTTGACTGTTTATTCCTCTCCCCTGCAGGACCCTTCTCCTCCTCCAAGTCATTTTTCTGGTCTCTGCTTGACCTACCACAGTACCAACAATGGGGAATTCAGCAGTGGAGAGTCAAACCAGTTTGGAGACTAAGACAAAACTTCATGAAGGTGGGCCGTTAAGGGACAGACTCTAAAGAATAGTTTACAATTGTCACTTTCAATTCTAACAGTGAAAATGATCGTTGTCATTTATTAAGTACTTCTCATGTGCCAGGCACTGTTCTGGAAGCTTCACATACATTATCTTATTTAATCCTTAAAACAATCCTGTGAGGTAGGTTATTATTACCAGTTTGCAAGGGAAAATGTGCTCAGAGATGGTAATTTGTGCAAGGGCAGAACCAAGCTTTGAGTCCGGACATCCTGCTACCACGGCCCTCTATGCTTTCCCACTCTACTGTCTTCTTTCCCAAAAGTGGCATCTAGTGTTCAGAAGCTCAGTGGGAAGGGATAATAAGTTTGGGCTTCATAGAGACATGAGTGAAAATCCTGATTCGGACACTCACTATTTGGACCAGTGACAGTACTATCCTTAGTTTCTTCACCTGCAAAGTAGGATTATACTACTTATCACGCTGAATTGATGTGAAGACTAAACAAGATTGTCATATCTAACTTGCACAAGCACACGTTAAGTATCAGGTACTGTTTTAAGTGTGTTGCAAGGGCCTGCTCATTTAATTTACACAAGAGCACGATGAGCTAGGTGTCCTTGTTATCCCCATTTTACAGATGAGGAAACTGAAGACCAGAAGGGTAAAGTATCTTGTTCAAGTTTACAGCTAGTAATGGTGAGGGTAAAATATGATAGAGTAGGCAGCCTGGAGAACCGTGCATTTAACTACTTCACTTTGCTGCCTGGCTGGAATGCCCAGTACGTAGAGGGCACTTGATCAATAGAGGCTCTGGATATAGCAGTGCTTCTGCCTGAAGGGGAAAGTGATGAGCCTTCCTGCCAAGCTGTAGCACTAACTATTAACTTCCTGGTGCAACTTATCTCTGTAACATCTGTACTGAACTTCATTTTTCCATGGATCTGAACGTTGTTTCCTCAACAAGCAGAACAAGTTCCTTTGGAGGTGGTAAGATAAATATGCTAAATCTCAGGTTGACCTATCCGTTCTGATTACTCTTAGCTCTTAGACCTTGGATTAAGAATCTTAGACCACTCTACTTCTCTGGGCCTCAGTTTCTGATAAGAGATTGCATGTAGTAATAGACAATGGCTAGACCATGTATAAAAGTAGAACTCTGATCCACAGTCTGCAGCAACCAGCCCAGGAAACCAATCCATTATCTGCAGTAAACAGCCTAGGAAGCCAGTCTGCTATCTGTAAGTCAGACTTGTATGAAATCAGACCACAGTCTCTAGCAACCAGCTCATGAAGCCGAACAATAACTCTTGTAGCCACTGGATCCAAAGGGTCAGGAATTGATTAAAAACCGACAGCTTCCCTAATTTTTGTCCCCACTTCCAGCCTAGCATGAACCAGAAAAGGCCAAATAATGCGCCCCTAACCAATCGTATAGGATGCTCTGCTTCTAGTTAACCTACCGATGGCTTCCCCACACCAGCAGCCTCCAAGCAAGGCATACCTGATGGCTTCTTTGTTTTCTCCTGTAAAGCTTTCCCACTTCTGCAGGCCTTTGAGTCTCTGCCAAAACATGTGATGGTGGCTGACTCCCTTTCTATAACAAGCTCTGAAAAAATAGCCTTTGCCTGTTCTCATTTGGTTGGTCTTCATTTACTCCACACTGCATTCGTAGAATGAAAGAGTTGGGACAGATGATTCTGAACTCTAGAAACTGGATGTGCTATCGCTGTTTCAGGAGATCAGATGTAGCTACTGCTGCCTTAATTACCAGAGGGGTTTGCATGGTTCCTGTAACATCAGTTTTGGATTTAGAATTTTAGGTGAGCATATCTGATTGGAAAGACCTAGGTGATGCCCTAGATGCCAGGGAGACTGGACAAGCCTTCCCTCTGTTGGGGGGTGGGCTCAGAAGGAAGAGCATCCCCTAAACTTAGGAATGAGATCTAGTTGCAGGGTGACTAAAAAGGGTAAAAAAAGTCTGCTGTATCTCTCATTTCCACCGTGCCTTGGGATTGACCCAATTCCCTGTTTTCAAGGATTCATGCCTTCTCCAACATGGTCCAGTATAATTTTGTCTGCCCGTTCTTCTTCCATACAGATGGAGAGCAAACGGACCATTCCCCTGCTGGACTCTTGAGTTCCTGCAGGACAGGACTGTGTCTTTTCAGCTTTTTAGCCTACCCTATCTCAGGAAAAATTACTTTATTGATAAGGACTGAATTCAAAAGCAGGAGAATGGAATGCATTTTTAAAAATTAAAAACAAAAAAAATCTAAATGAAATTGGCTTCTCTACGTGTGTGGCCCTTAGTTAATTTTTTCATGAATTAATGGCTTTGGCTTTTGCTAGAAAATAGATAACACACCCTGCAGACTGGGCCTTGCCAACAGGAGGCAGCAGAACAACAGTTGGTGAAAGAATGAACTAATAGGGCCGCACCCCTAATTCACTGGAAGGTTGG